TTTCTGGTACCCTAAAACCTACTTTACCTACCCTTTCTGGTACCCTAAAACCTACTTTCCCTGCCCTTTCTGTTACCCCTAAAACATACTTTACCTAACCTTTCTGGTACCCCTAAAACCTACTTTCCCTGCCCTTTTTGTTACCCCACAAACTTTTTTCCCTGCCCTTTCTGGTACCCTTAAACCTACTTTTCCTATCCTTTCTGGTACCCTAAAACCTACTTTACCTACCCTTTCTGGTACCCTAAAACCTACTTTACCTACCCTTTCTGGTACCCTAAAACCTAAAACCTACTTTACCTGGTACCCCTAAAACCTACTTTACCTGCCCTTTCTGGTACCCTAAAACCTACTTTACCTACCCTTTCTGGTACCCTAAAACCTACTTTCCCTGCCCTTTCTGGTACCCCTAAAACCTACTTTTCCCATCCTTTCTGGTACCCCTAAAACCTACATTTCCTGCCCTTTCTTGTACACCTAAAACCTACTTTCCCTGCCCTTTCTGTTACCCTAAAACTAATTTTCGGTCAGACTTTCACTAAGTTCTAGTATGGCAATTTTCAACAAATAAGGATGTGATCTTAATATACTAGGGCCAAGAAAAATGGGTTATAGACACTCATCCTTTTGAAATCAATGGTTGTTAAAAGCTTTGAACCTCTCTCTAGATAGAGGCATACAATTTTCTACCTATGGAATATAAGTGATACAAACTTTCAAGAATGCTTATTGTAAATTAACTCTAAATTTTAAAAAATTCACAAAGAAAAACTCTTGTCTTTAGATATGAAATCTCTGATTAATTCCTGATCTCAACTAATTAAATGTATGCTCAATTTTAGAATCAATTAATTGGTACAATTTCCTCATATTGATTTCAATTATTTTCCAATATCAGCTCATCACTATTTTTAGAGTGAACTGTTTACCTGTTGATGGAAATCTTTAATGCTAACACTTTTCTGGAGGCCTCGGTATCCACATGTGGTGTCCTCATGATTACGAACTTCTTCAGCAGTCCCCACAAACTCACATCCTGCAAAACCAAACATACTTTACCATGTGTTTGTATTATTTTATAGACAATTGTCAATGAGAATCATTTAGGGCTAAACAATTGCCTAAAAAGTGTATATACAGGATGATGTAATTCACGGTCACACTCAAAGGCAACATTACAATGCAATAATATTGATACGTGGGTTAATGACCAAATATGTAGGCTGTCTTTATTGTGAATAAAATAGTTATACATGTAACCATTCCATTCCATATCAGATTGATTTTAACCTAAAGGATACATTTTTACCTATAGTGTCAACTTCTATATTTATCAAATTATACTGCAACAGCATGTAAATAACTAACACAGTATATTTGTTTATTTTTGATGACTTAATAATTACAGAGTGTACCTTTATTACAGTGTCCACAAGGTGTGAAATGACACACCTCTAGATGTTGATCAAGTTCCGACTTTCTAAATCTGCCACATCGACCAGAATTATTTGGACATGGTACCGGGGCATACACACAGTTAGCCTCATGTTCTTCTCTTTTACCTACAAATTAAAATTGTAAAACTTTGAAATTATATAACTCAAACTTCAAAACAATGAGGAACCTAAACAACATATTTCTCTTGTCACTATGGTCTGGCCACTTTGAAGGAATCCTTTGAAATAAACACTAAAAAATCTAGAATGAATTTCATTTCACATTAAACATGATTTACCAGCTGGGAGTTACCATTAAATATGTGTATTGTATGTTGATCAAGTCAACTTTGTACCTGAAAAAGGAGTATACAGGAGTCTATGCAGACAGCAAAATTTTCAATTCAGGTACATTTATTATGCATACCCTGGTATGTAAATACATGCAACATGCTTTGCAGAGAAAATGATCGCAACTGTCAAGTTTCTTGATGAAAGACATAACATTATTTAATCTGTATTAAATTGGTTTAGTTTATAGTTACTTTACATCCTATAAATAGGCAGGCCATTTAAAGAGTTTTGGCCATGATTTGGCCACATAAACAGTAGCTAAGATGGCAGACATTTTTCATATGAACCCATTTTTTCATGATATCCTTGATTGAAAATAAGATATTCTACTTTAACTTAACACTACATGTCTATATACAAAAACTTGGGCAAATAAAACTGTTTAAAGTAAATAAAATCAGTGGAAAATCTGTATTGAAGGATCTTGAGTTAGAAATATTCAATTGTACATGGATGTATATCTCAGAATACATGATTGTGGTAAGAGCAGCTGTTACTGCTATTCTATAACATTTTTGTATATAACATGGAATGTGATTATACAGGTGCTCAAGATTTTTCATGATTTTGGCTCCTCAGTTTTGGAGGTATGAAACTGTTTTGCGACAGAGCTATTTACCCACGTACACATGACACATGTACATGTTTTGGAACATTTTCGTCAGGTTGGTAATGTCAACAGAATAGAAATTCTTATAACACAACTAGAAGTATTTGGTAGATTAGAGTGTGACGTTTCGATGACTACACAGTCACTTTCATCAGACTAAATGTGAATGACATAATGTCTGATGAAGATTACTATTTAGTTGTTGAAACGTCACATTTAATCTCCTACTGGTTGTGTTATAAAGAATTTCTACTCTATGTGTAAATGCGTCAAGAATCATAACATATGCAAGAGAATTATGCAAATATCCCTGTCTAATTAATGAAATATATGAATCCCAGCAACACTTCAGCAGTAAAAGCATATAAAATTACTGACTTGAGGGATTCTGAGCCTCGAGATTCCTTTAATTTTTCAATATGAAAGTACATGTATATGTCAAGTATGTGCTTTGATTGGCCATATGTGGTACAGGAATGATGCAATAGTAATATTTGCATACAAAAGTCCAGATATTTAGGTGTACATGAACTTGTCAGAGTACAAGAAAGAATTTTTAATGCATAATTTACAATATTAAGATTGTCTCCGAAGCAGGATGATACAGCTGATATAGATGGATATAGTATGGGTGTGTGCAGAAGTGGGGCATGCTGTAAATATTAAAAAAAGTAACATGTTCTGTTTTGTTAACATTGTGGTTACAACAAGTTCATGAAAGAAAAAACAGCCATTTAACACCTGTGGTTAACTACATACACAAAGGCCAAACAGTATCCCGGCAAGTTATAATCTTCATTCATTTTTGCTGTCATCTATCTGGAGGGGATTGTTTGGACAGAGACATCTCTGTGCAGTGTTTCTTAGTATGTAAATAAGAGTATGGCTATGAGCCTAGTAATTAAAAATATGCGCATTCACAATACTATGCTAAAGGGGGCAGATTCTGCTTTCACCATTTCTGTGTGCCGAGAGAGATGGGATACTGTAGACTACATACATTATTGAATGAGCAGTTGTGTTCACCTCATTGGAAAGTCTATTCAATCTTTACCAATAATTGATAATGGATTTTAATCAATTTCCAATCACTATTAAGTGTATTACAGTGTATCTAGCTGCAGAAAGTTAACACAGACTGACCTAATAAAATGTGTTCCTGACAGCCACTTGGGTCTAAAGTATGGTGACCACCATTAGTTTCTGTCACCCCATATCGGCAATGGATTAACAAGTCTTCAATCTGTCCAACCACAATTCTGGGGGAAAAAAGTTTCACGTCACAAAAAAGGTAAAAATAAATATTTTCCTGTATAGCTATTTTTTTTCTCATTTTTAAACAAAGCACTCTTAATGTCTTGACATCATTCTGAAAAAAAGTGACTATTTCTAATATCATTGTTGGAATGCTGATTTTTTTTCTTAATTATTTTTATACAAAAGGATTGCAAGTTCTGATGTTGATAGATTCCAGAGAATATAAAAAGTTCATCATGACAGAACATCAGACGAATTTAGAACTAAATATAGTCTGAAGATTTCTATCTCTGCTATTTTGTTTTTATCTTAGTCTTCAGACTAATGTATATATGTAGTGCATATGTGCATATATATACCCTTACATTACATGAATATATTCAAAGTATTATCTTCGGATAATATACCAGTGCATGTAACATTAAATTTTTCTACAAAACACTTAATTTTTTTTTCTGTACATCCGCCTGGCTATCGCGCCGTGCGGGTATGCCTAATGTGCAGGAAATTAATATACGAGTCTCAAAGGCACTGTTGTTTTGTAAACTGAAATTCTTTGGCCGGTACTGTATACAAATAAAGTTCTAATAATTCACCTGTTGACAACAAGCTGTTTTATGTCGCACAGTTGACTGTCTATTGGACAGCGGGTGACTTTGAAGGCACATTTTCTACAGAAAGTGTGACCACATTTAACACTAATCACAGGATCGTGGTACAAACGTTTACACACAGTACAGTTCAGATGTGGTGATGGTTCTTCAACCACTAACACAGGAAGCTGATTTTCGATTTCGGAATCCTCTGTCAATCGTTGAACCGGATTTTTTGTGGCCGGTTTGTCATCTTTGTCAAGTTTGTATGTTTCTGAAAGAAATGCCATTTGTTTCACATCTTCTGTTGATGTTTAGATTTCGAACACATCAGCATCTACATCCAAGTGTACTTTCCAGATTTCGATGGTATTTCCCCTCGCAGTTCATGTTTCATCTTCCTTGTCTTAACAATATACGAATCAGCGTTAATGAAATATTTTGATAATAAAGTAATACACATTGCCATAAACATTTAGAAGATCCAAACTCATTTGGGTGCGTTCGATAAATAATATTTTGATTACGGGCCAAAGCATAACGATACTGATACGGTAAATGGACGTTATTGAAGAAGAAGTAGTGCATTGTATTAATCTTCTACATATTCATCAGTTCATATGACTATAGTTTTGATTATCTACTTGATGTTAAACTTTGTATGCTTATTTCTGAATACGGCTTCCGGTTACCGTTTCATATTTTACATCTCTGAATTAAACATCCGGTGTAAGATTACTTATGACAGGAATGGATTGCTGTACTATAAGTTTAATCGTTGTCGTGTCAGTTTTTACACTGACCTTTATTTGGAACATCAGATGTCCAAAGAAAATGAAGCTTGACGGAACGCACGTGCTGGTAAGTCTCTCAACATGATAAACACTTGCTGAAAACGGCACTGCACATGGATGGGGTGAATTTGTGTACACCGGCCGGTCCCGGCCTAGATACCCGTACCCGTTAATTAAGAAATAATTAATATCTCGAGAACAAAAAATACAGTAAATCTCAAAATTTGCACATAAATGTACGTTAATATTCTCAAAATTTTTAAATTGAATGAAATAAGGTTAACGTTGAAATTATTTTAAATCGACGATTTGTTTTTTCAGGGAGTGAAAACTTAAACGCAGCACACAACCGTGACATTTTTCGACTTTTGTCAAATTACAGCTATCATACGGTTTGATTTAAGATTGTTAACAAACCAGTTTGACCCAGAAAAGAGGCATAATTTACATCTAATCTTGCATTTATTATGATCGTGGGTCGTTTGTTGACACTCGATCTCCGGACCCGTGAATAATGTGCAAAATGTGTAGAACCTTCCTATTCATAGTATAAGAAATAAGAATGTTACCGGGCTTAGCGAAGCGGACACAGTTCTACACGAAGTCCGTTTTTTTATAATTATTTATTAGATACGTTTGGTAATTCTGTGTTACCATGTCGCTAAAATAGTTCGAAATATGACATCCCTCTGCTTCACAATCAATTAAAATATCGAAATGTAAATTCTGAATAGTTTTCTTTTTCTTAAACTTACTCATTTTTTTCTTAAGAAATTTTGTAAAAATACCTTTGAAATACATTCAGCAAGATGCTGTCTCATACAATCTTTATCAAAATACAACTCTTGTCTCCCATTAACCCCATTGAAATGAAATTCTACCAAGTAAGCAATAGCAAAAACCCCACAATCAACCCCATTTGTTAAACTCACCTTCACAATCGCAAAAGCTGTCTATCATCCTCTAATAAGTAATCATGCTGATATATACCGTTTCCCTGAACTCTAGGAACAAAAATAGTTTCATCACTTATATACTGAACAAGATTATACATAAATGACCCCTGTTTTAACACTTACATCCTACTTTAAAAATTCTTTGGCCCTTTCGTATCACCCTTCCCCACACTTATGTAAAAAGTTTGTTTCCACAATTTTAGTTGCCCTGCATACATTTTTTCACGTTATAACAAACATGCATCAGACTTGAGGAGTGACCTCCCCCTAGCATGGGTCCGGGGGTCAAGTGTAAACAAACGACCCACAATCATAATAAATGCAAGGTTAGATATGAATAACACCCTGCTTCTGGGTGAAACTAATGTATTTACAATCAGATAGGTATAAATATTGTTTGGAATTTCAAAAAAATCTTAAATCAAACTATTTAATAGCTGTAACCAGCAAAAAATTTAAAAAATTCCACAGTTAAAAGCAGCATACAAGTTTTCACCCCCTGAGAAATACTAATCCTCAATTGAAAAAATCTTGATATCTGTATTAATTCATTCTATGTGCCAGATCTTTAAATCATTTAAGTAGATTTATGTAGATTTATTTGATTATTTGTTCTTGAGATATGAACTCTTTCTTAATTTCCTAGTACAGGTATCGGGTATTTACTCCCACACAGCACATGGCAACATATACAGTATCTTCTCAACATCCGTTCTGGACCATTCTGTACTTCAGACTGACCTTTTTTGTTGAAATATGTCACATAAACTATTGACATGCATGACTTTGCAAGTGCATGATTTTTGTTGCTTTCAGGAAGAAGGAAAATTGTGATTCGATCCATCCATCATAAAATATCATGTGTAAATATTTCCTCGACACACACATGTATTTCTTCTTAATACATTTTTGCATGTCAAACATCCTTCAAGATATATGTGATGAAATAATCTATCAATCCATCCTCGGATGCCAGTGTTTTGTTGTCATCTGTCAATCTTCCATTGTCAAGATCAAAGTTGAACAGCAGGGTTGGAAAGTCAACCAATCAGGATTATGCTGTGTTAGCTATACTAGGCATTAACTTATTTGACCTAATCAATACTTAAAATGTGTTGATCATTAAAATGATTTCAAGACTGATGCATTCAATTTCATCTAATTACTGTACATGTATATCTGATGTGAAAATTGTGAGCATCAACCTGCTTAAAATTTCTGTTAATCAAATTTTGAATTTCATTTCAGATAACAGGAGGTTCCAGTGGGATTGGGAAGGAGATAGCCAAGTTGGTGATCAGTCGAGGTGCTAAAGTGAGCATAATGGCACGCAATCAGGTACAAACACTACTATATTTTGAGTCCAGAAAGTTTTCTTATGGTCATCCATCAATCAAATTTAGACGTCTATCAGAAACAGAAAAAATTGGAAAATTTATCTTATTAAATTTGTTTCTACTTTAAGTTCATTGCTTTTATTTCCATTTAGAAAAAGCTTACTGAAGCCAAGGAAGAAATTGAAAGATGTAGGAAGTCTGAGAGTACAGAGGCAAGTATATACTTCAATGTGTAAATCTCTAGAGATATTGAGACAATCTCATGATTATTTTTATGAATAAGATTTGATAGAAATTGCCATTCAAATTTTCGTCTCATTCAGTATAAGTTTATATTACCAACTTTTGTTTTAATATTTCAATCTCTTTCTCTGAAAAAAAATTGATAATGGAAAATAGAAAATAAAATTCTTACCTATTCAGAAAACTTTATTATATATATGTACAAAATTATATTAAATATATGTTCAAAAATTCAAATCAAAATATTTCGAATATTTATCTTGTAAAATAGAAATTTCCATTTTTAGTTGTCTTTGTTCTGTTGACACTAAACCTGAAAGATAACCTTAGACCCCCATTTTGGCAATAAAAATAAGGCATACATCTATGTAGATTGACCAATATGATATTTAGCCAAATATCCCATTGAGTTGTATCAGTTTTGTGACCTTTTGTGAACCTTCCAATATTTTCTTCTTCAGGAAGTTGTCTGTGTGGTAGCAGATGTGGCAAAAGATGCTGAACTTGTAGAAAATGCTGTTTGTGAGGTAGGCAATATGGACAAGTCATTTTCAGATCATCTGACCTGAAGAGTCAGGATGACCTAAAGTCACTTTTTATCAATAAACATAAGGCCCTGGGTGATGATATTGGTCTGTATGATCAAGGGTCAAATATGGTCCTGTTGCATGATGGGATGGATTTGTTAAATGAATAAGCTGTACTTGCTTTTAAGGTCACAGGGATCAAATATGTCAAAATATTTAAACAACTTCTTTGTGATAACTAAAAGACCCAGGGTGCTGATATTGGACCTGTATGATGTTGGGATTGAGGGCTACCAAGTTTAATTATATGGATGACCTTGACCAACTTTCAAGGTCACAGGGGTCAAATGAGTTGAAATATTTGAACAACTTTTTAGGTCACCTGAAACGAAGTCTCATGTGACCTATTGTGATTGTCTTTTTTCTGGTGCTGTGCATCATCTCTTGTTGTGCGTCGAAAACAATTTATATTTTCAACTTATTTTCAATAACCAAATGGCCCAGAGTCATGTTTGGCATGCTGGGATAAAGGGCTACCAAGTTTATTCAAATGAATGACCTTGACCTATTTTCAAGGTCACAAGATTCAAATGCGTTAAAATCTTTAAACGACTTCTTCTCAATAACCAAAAGGCTCAGAGTGCTGATAATCAGTCCATAGCATACTGGAATGAAGGGTTACCAATTTGTTCATGTGATCATTTTTTTTCTTTTTTAAAGATCAGATGTGTTAAAATCTTAAGACAACTTCTTCTCAATAACATAAAGGTCAATTTATTTAGACCTGTTTGACCTCTGTCATTAATAGATCTAAATAGTCAAATGACCGATAAGGCCTGTAAGCCTCTTGTTTGCTTGTGTTTTCTTTATAGCCATAAATTTCTCTTTATGAAATATGATTATTCTTGAAGAAACCTAGTATCTATGTTCATGGCAAGCTGTCTTCGGCTTCATGCGAGTTATGTCTCAGTGTTCTGTCAACATTTCAATCAGTTTTACTGGGTAGTTTGATACTTTACATTAATCAGTTCTGTCTACTTTCATTACTCAGAACTGCATGGTTACTACAGTCAGTAAGACATAATTTGACAATAAACAAACATTACAACAGGGGTGTACAATTCCAGTAGTTTGATAATGCCAACTGTTAAAATTTAATATTTACATAGGCAGAAAGGCAAAATGGGCCTGTCCAGATGTTGGTAAACTGTGCTGGATTTTCCATCAGTGGAAGATTTGATGATCTGAAACCAAGTGATTTTAAGGTAAGTTTGGATCACATATATCTATTACCAGTGTACAAATGTTCTCTATGGAGATTATCAAATGGAAGCTCAAATATTTCTGATAAAATAGATTTGAATCATGGCATAAATTTCTGAATTTCTTTCATTATTGTAATCTATTGTTTTATTGAAACATTTTGAATTAATGCCTATTGCCATCATATTTATATTCATAATCAGCCATGAAATGAAAGTTCTATCACCTTAATGTGAAAATGAATGATGTTCATGACTGATGATACATCAAGCTGAATTTTTAGCTCACCTGGCCTGTTCGCCAAATTTTTCCTTTAAACAACTTCTTCTCAATAACCAATGGACCAAATGTTTTGGTATTTTGCTGGTATGTTCCCAGGATGAAGTTTATGAAAAGAAATGACCTTGACCTATATTCAAGGTTAAGGGATCAAATTTGTTGAAACCTTTAAATGTTTTGGCATATTTGGCAAAGTTTGCAAAAAAGACATGACCTTGACTTTTATTCAAGGTCACAGGGGTCAAATTTGTTAAAACCTCTAAACAACTATTGTTCATGAACTGATAAGCCTAGATGCATAATATTTGGCTGTATACCAGATAAGTGCTACACACCCATTGGGCCTCTTGTTTAACATAAAATTTGAAACTTCACTATAATACCCCAACCAAACCATTAACCATACAATTATCTTTAAATGTGAAAATTAATAATTTGTCTTATATCAGGAGGAACTGATGAGAGTTTTTGTTTCACATGATATTTATGAAATGAGTCTGAGTTATTACTTATTCTTGAAAAGCACCTGTTTGCTGTGGAGCTAATTTGTAAAAAAAAAAGAAAATATTTTAAGGTGACCTCTGTATCTGTGATCTCCAGTGTGAAATCACAATCAAATGTGAAAGTGTGTGACATTTATTATGTTGCGATACTTGTACATCATATGGCATCAGCATGATCAATTAGCCTGATTAAAATACTATGACATTTTTAACAGAACCAAATGGATGTGAACTATCTTGGGACTGTTTACGCTACCAAAGCTGTGATGGAGTCCATGAAGACACTTGGCTGTGGCCGCATCGTCTTTCTCTCCTCTCAGGCTGGTCAGATAGGACTGTTTGGTTACACCAGCTACTCTCCTGCTAAGTTTGCTCTCACAGGGCTGGCACAGGCTCTTCAAATGGAGGTAAGATAAATCACATTAGAATTTGTTTCTAATGTGCTTGAATGCAGCTTTGATTCTTTGAGTAAACACATGCATTTCACTGGTACACTGCTTTGGACATTTCAGTTTTCCAAGTGTTTTGACCAACTTTATTTCTGAAATGTTGTGATTTTCATAAAACAGTGTTCCTATCAAAATATACATTGTATTTCTACAGTCAATTTTTACTGCAAGTATGAATAAAATATATAATGAAGTGATACATTTTGCAAGGGAGCACTATTTGGAATGATTTTCTTTACTGAATAAATAAAATTATACGTGCTTCTATTCCATAATATGATCTCTGTTGACCTGGTGGGACTTTGTTGGGCATAAGTTAAGAACTGTATATTCTGCGATGGAAATTTTACATTGGAGACCCACTAAGAATGCATATGTACTGAAATCGGAAATACATGTAACTACACATACAGTTATGAGTTATGCCCCTTTGATTTTGATAGATTTGTATAAAAATATAAGGTCAGTGTTTGGCCAATGTTTGGAGATGTAAATTGTTAGCATTTACTATGTTTGATTGTCAATGAGATGATTATTTTTAGGTGAAGCCGTACAATATCCATGTGACATTATCCTTTCCTCCTGACACAGAGACTCCTGGATATAAAGCTGAATTGGAGGGGAAGGTAGGATTTTGAAAATCAATACAGCTTAGCACCATTCAGTTTCCATATCAGTGTTGGCACTGTATTATTTGAGAAAACAATATTTTTCCACTTTAAATAGTTAGTATATTTACTATTCATACTATCAATATTCACAACAAGACCTAATGGAGTGTGAAGTTCTCTGTAGAGAAGACAATCCTACATATCCTACATTGTGAAGTTGTGATCCTAACCTCATGGTTGATAGATATTTTGAAAATACACACCAAAAAAATCTATGGTGAGGAAATACTGTTATTACTTCAATAACATTACAAGAAAAATGAGAGTAATGTCACATTACCTCTATTTTAAATCATTTCATCTTTCCATATACTTCATTTTGTAAACTCTCTTTCAATGCTTTTCTCAATAATGATAACTGCGGTTGTTATTCTTTCAACATGATAGAAATTATCTCCAAAAATAAATTTGTGAAAAATCATTGAAATATCAATTTCTTGCAACTTTCTGTTCAAATACTTTAAAAATCAGAGATATTTTTATTTTTGGATCCATACAGCCAAGAGAAACTGTCCTAATATCAGAGACCTCAGGAGTATTCCAAGCAGATGTAGTGGCCAAAACAATTGTGGAAGACAGCTTGGTATGTGATGTCTGAACACAGTACTAGTATTCTTGATTATATCATATTTGAGTCCTTTTTAATGTAATATCCTGTTTAATGTAATGTCACATTTGATGTTAGAATTATACTGTTTAATGTAATATGCTGTTTAATGTAACATCCTGTTTAATGTAATGTCACATATGATGTTAGAATTATATTGTTTAATGTAATGTCCTGTTTAATGTAATGTCACATATGATGTTAGAATTATATTGTTTAATGTAATTTCCTGTTTAATGTAATGTTTTGTTAATATCATGGTTGATGCAACATTCTTGTTCACGTTATGTCCTTGTTTACTAAATTGTCTTGGTAATATATTTTCCTGCTGGAATCTTTTGTGCAATTATGTTTATTGTAAAGCAGCCCTTAAAAAAGTAATTGATGAAAATATTTAAAGGTTCATTTTACATGTATAATGTATTTTTATTTACAACTTTTTAAATCAATTACTCATGTTTATGCCATGTATGTATATATTTTTCTCATCGCCACCCTCTGGCTTACATTTTATCTGCAGAAACAAAGAAAATTGATAAGTATCATTTCATATCAAAATGTTTTCTTCTTCTTAGTTAAGCTTTTACCATTGTAAGAAAGTGATGTATCAGATGATACTGTTTGCTTCAGAGAGGACGGTTCCAGAGTTGGATAGGTTTGGATGGCTTTATGTTGGCGTGTATGACCTGTGGGATGTCACCGGTCACTTCAGTTATGGATGCATTGTCACAGGTATGTATTACAAACTACGCTACAGGAGAGAGAATGATCACAGATCACATTTGCTGCATTGAAAATTTCAGTATTTTTTTGTGTGTTTTTTATGTGGCAGAAAATGAAGTGATGGTTGAATGAGTGAGCTTTTAATCATACCTTTGCTGTGTTTCTTTAAATTAAGTACTACCTACAGGCCAGGGAACTATCAAAAATGGCACACTGTCTTGTCATGTGCAATGACATGATTACCTATCATCAAAGAAATTTTTAAATGTTTACTATGCTTCTATGACACAGATATGTCCTATGTTTGAGTGAATATTTTTGCTATATTTTTCCTCTAAATATATATGTCAGAAGTTGAAAATTTAATGGAACCTTTTTGAATATTGTTTAAAATATTCCACACATAAGAGAATATACAGCTATTGTTCACTACTGACATGAATTTCACACGCATAAGCAGTATTGCTGTACTCTCATACTTTTGAAAAACTATTGAATACCCTCTACAGGGCAGGTAGATGGCTAGTGTTGGCATCAGTGGAAACTTTGATCAGAAATTAAATGGAAAATGACATTATGGAAACACATCATCTTCAATTGAATTTTGTGGAATTTAGATAAAAAAAATTATGACCTAAATACAATAATTGATCAAATGTATTTCTTTTATTCCAGATTGTGACAGCAAGTGTTTTCCGCTTGGTATCCTTGTTTTATCTCACTCACTTTGATGGTATTGTCAGCAAGTGCAAGAAAGAAAGAGATGCAGAGAAGAAAAAGACTTCCTGATGAAGGAAAATTTTTTCCTCGCCGGAAGGCAAACATTCAGAGAGATGATTACACATGACCTATTTATGATGATGTATTGACATTTAACTATTTAGAGGAATAGCAAGTAATATTGCAGTTTATTTGCAGTGAACTGTTTCATGGGTGAATTGATGTTATTCGTTTTGAACCAACAAAGTTGGCAGGTTAGTGTATTATAAGGTTCAGTATTCACAACGATTGAAAAAAGTAGTGTGTGGCAATCTCCTTTACCAAAATTAGTGCTTACAAATGTCATAGCTTTATGTTATAGTAATCAAAATGCCAGTTTGGCCATGGGTCTTAATGAAAATGCAATGCAAATAGAGCTAACTTATGGATGCCATGTGTCTTGGTTTACTGTCCTGTGATATAGCATCCTGATATCAAATAAGGTCACAGTGACTTTGTGTTTTTGTTTACATTGATTTTAGCTCAAATCATAGCATACAGGGTATTCAAAGTAGAATATATCATTAGGTATGTAGTGATATCCTGAAAATCATAATTAATAGTATGTCACGTACATTAATAGGTCCCTACACACTGGGTTTCATACTTCAGTGATTTTGGCTATTTTCCGGTGAACCATTTTCTTGTTGGAGTTTCTCTGATTCTTTTCAAATGTACGACTGAGTGGTGAGGATTTTGTTTTAGACTTAAGCTTGTCAATTCCATTTCTTGTTGAAAGTGGCTTGAAGAAAATGTACAAGCTATGGCATGATTGCATATATTTGGTTGTAATAAATGTCTATGTGTGTGTAATCAAGTAAACAAAGGAAGAAGAATGACTGACAGATAAATGAATGACAGAAGAAACAAACAGTTTGTTTTTCACTACGTTGATGTATGAGTTCTCAACCATCCTTATACATTTGTACATTCAAAAAATTTTAAATGGCCTTAATATCATAGCTCTATTTATATTTTTATATAAGATTTTTTTTTATATATATGAAATAATATAATATCATAGTGTAACACATTGTATGTAAATTCCTTTGTACGTTATATACTGTATATTTCTCAAAAAAATAAAATACAATTATGACTGCTATCATCATTTTGTGAAAACTTGAGTTTCTTATTAATTCCATGAACATTTTTGGATCTATAGGTAAAAAATCTCCCTGTTAACATAAAAGAATCTAGACTCCCTGAAATTATTCTGAGTGGTATGTTGATAATTATATTTTAATGAATAACTCAGGATCCATCTTTGAAATCCAAACTTCCCCCCCATAGGTACAAATTTCAGAACCAGTGGCCTATGTATAACAAAAGCTTGCATGCACAGTTGCCTTTTTTCAGTTGAAGACTTAAAACCCTGACCAATTACTAGACTATCAGTACATGATTGTTTGATGTTATTGTTAATCATAATATCAAAATTATACAATAGGCTACTTGTATCCTGTGATATTTTCCAGAGATCACAGGAGTGCAGACTTCCAAAAATATAGTCTCAAGACCAGTCAGCTATCTCACTATCACTTCTAAGATTGATAATGGCTTTAACTTTTATTCTATTTATGCTTTAATGTAGGCTCATGTCTATATCATACATACAAAAAAGACGGAATATGAAAGTCACTCTTCATTGTTGTTTGTTCTGATATAAAGTCTCACATTCTATAAACCAATAAACAGGATAGAGAAGTCTCTATTCATGGCTGTCTGTTTAGATATAAAGTCAAGTCCAGCTGGAAGTAAAAAAGAGGTACACTTGTTCCATAAAGCATGTGGTATCTCAGGAGTGTTTAATTCAAAAGTTTAGTTGCTTTAACATCCATAAAATGGCATCAAAACATCTGTTGGAAAGAGAGATGTTTTGTACAGAATCCAAAATACCTATGAAAAAGGGGAATGCCTTGTATGGAACATGCCCTAAAATATCTACAGCTATTACAGAGGGAGAAACATTGTAGGGAACATGTCCTGAAATATCTACATCTATTACAGAGGGAGAAACTTTGTAGGGAACATGTCCTGAAATATCTACATCTATTACAGAGGGAGAAACTTTGTAGGGAACATGTCCCAAAATATCTACAGCTATTACTGAGGGAGAAACATTGTAGGGAACATGTCCCAAAATATCTACAGCTATTACAGAGGGAGAAACTTTGTAGGGAACATGCCCTAAAATATATACATCTATTACAGAGGGAGAAACTTTGTAGGGAACATGTCCCAAAATATATACATCTATTACAGAGGGAGAAACTTTGTAGGGAACATGTCCCAAAATATATACATCTATTACAGAGGGAGAAACTTTGTAGGGAACATGTCCCAAAATATATACATCTATTACAGAGGGAGAAACTTTGTAGGGAACATGTCCCAAAATATATACATCTATTACAGAGGGAGAAACTTTGTAGGGAACATGTCCTGAAATATCTACATCTATTACAGAGGGAGAAACTTTGTAGGGAACATGTCCTGAAATATCTACATCTATTACAGAGGGAGAAACTTTGTAGGGAACATGTCCCAAAATATCTACAGCTATTACTGAGGGAGAAACTTTGTAGGGAACATGTCAGCTATTACAGAGGGAGAAAATATCCCAAAATATATACATCTATAACAGAGGGAGAAACTTTGTAGGGAACATGTCCCAAAATATATACATCTATTACAGAGGGAGAAACTTTGTAGGGAACATGTCCTGAAATATCTACATCTATTACAGAGGGAGAAACTTTGTAGGGAACATGTCCTGAAATATCTACATCTATTACAGAGGGAGAAACTTTGTAGGGAACATGTCCCAAAAATATATATAGCTATCAGAGAGGGAGAAACTTTGTACACAACATGAACCAAAATACATGTTAGAAAGGCGATATGTGCAGAACAGACATTTAAATACCTGTTAGAAAAGGACAAACATTTTCAGTCAGAACACAATAATTGTGTTCTACAGTATGTGACAAATATCAGGTAAGTTCAGAGTAATTTTCATCTAATAAAAGATCACAAATGATAATATGTATTTCAATATTTATTTGATATCAAATATCAACAGTAGCTTTTGATTTGAATTTTCGAGCAGATCTCTCACTTGACCGCACTCGGAAGTTAGTGCCGTAAATGGTAAACATGTAGGAGCCCAGCATAAATGTGAAAACTGAATGTTGTTTGGGGATACCTGAAAAACAAGAAAAGTATAGTCACTTTTTACCACTTAAAATTTTGTTAGTTTTAAATATTACATTTTCAACATCACAAATTAATTTAATTTGTATTCCATTTAGAGTGATTGATTCTTAATGCCTTAAAACAAGTAAATGTCTATAAAACAGGAACACCCAGCCCCTATACAAACCAGAATCTGGTCTGGTGTAGAACTTGATGTTATCATACGAATGAGTAAATATGAACTAAATCTGTGAGAAAGGAATCGAAGGATGGTTGCAACCCTTTTGCAACATCTATAAAACAGAGGAGACAGAAAAAAAGTAATGTTAAAATATAAACATTTATTAATTTACACATCTAGGAATCTATATGTTAAGCTAACACTGAGTGACAGAAAAGGTCAGTAGACTTTGATGGAATTTACATGATATGATTCACTCCTGTTGACCTAGATGGGGAAGTCATCGGAACAAAATGTAGAAGAGAGGGGTGGTGTTCTGTACCACTATTACGGTAATAGAGACTTTATATCTCTATACAAACCCTTTACCATTACAAACCCTGAAGACTATTGATAAATATCATAACACAAATACATGCACTTTCCACAACAGTGGTATCATAATGTCAAGACTTACATTTTACTTTATTGTCTCTGGTGATCAGAAGAAATGTGTTCTTCGTTTCCTGTAGAAGAATTCCTGTGACACCTACATAACTGGGACACTTTGACCTTTGAACTGTCAGCAGAGACCCATGAAAGTCAGCTTTTATCAATTTGTTTTGTACATTCATCATCATACTGGGCTGGAGACTGGAACAGATATATTGTTGCTTCACAGACTTTTAGTACAAACATCAACACACAACATCACACATTCAGTTAATATTGTTTTTCATGGTGCTATTTTCCACCTGATTAATTCTTCAAATGTCATTTGGTACTCTTATGCAACAAGTTTCAGTTATAAATATACTTCTAAGTCTCTATTTACAATAATTGATGCAAAGATTTTTTTTATTTTTATTTATTTTTTTTTTTTGTTTTTTTTTGTTTTTTGAATGAAGACTAGCCAGCATGTGTTAGCATTGTCCAATTAATACCTATGACATTCTTGTGATAAATATGCAATGGGGTCTCATGTTCTTGATAGCAGCAACAGAAAGAGGATATACATACATCTGTATACAGTGGAATAACAATAATGCAAAAATAATGTAAATACAATCATACAAAATTATAGCAAAATCTAATTCCATCTGAAAGATCAAAACTTTCCTTAAGTATAAAGTTCGTGTGACCACATGTAGTAATGAAGGAGAAACAGCCTGGAAATCTGTTTCTTTGATGTAGGTCAAAGGTCAAAATGTAGGTCAGAGTGACCTGCTTTTGATACAGGACACACAACCTCATAAAACTGATCCAATACCCCAAGTATAAAGTTCAAGTGACATGTATTGTAGGACACAAAAGACAGACAAGATAGCAAGACAGACAGAAGGTCAGATGTACACAACACAAAATTCTAGTCCCCCTGGTTCCAGTTATGGGATGACTAATTACAAAACTTACTTATTGAATTGTATGAGTTCATCCATGTACTCTAGCCAGAGCTGATGAAGAGGTAGAAAAGATTCATAACTGCAATAAAACAAAAGAAAAATATCTATTTTAAAGAAGATATGTGTTCAGAGTTGTAACTACAGGTCAATTTAGTACAGGTAGTATCAGTTGGCGGGAATTAGTCAAGCAATAGTATAGGATGTCCATCTGGTAATTGAATCCCAGTGGGGTTAAAACATTTCATAGCTCCTTCTTATAATGTATATTTGGCATTAAAACTTTTTCTATTGCAGGTATTATATGAAAATGTTTATTTCTGAAGTAATTTTTTCGTCATTTTGGTATCTAGGATGATATATAGTAAATTGAAATTTGAGAACAACTTTTCAGGACCAAGAAATGGTTTTAACTTTTCTCTCATTTTCCATCCTGCTTACCTTTGGCCTTCTCTTTCCACTTTGAATAATTTCAAACTTTTACACTCCCTTGATGAAAGAGTTTTCTTTTTACGTGTTGTTTTTTTGCCTTTTTCTTTCTTGGGATTATCCAACATGACAAATTTGTTCTTGACCTCTTCATCTTCTCCATGGATAAGTCTATTCCTTGGCAAGTGACGTTTCAGAAAGGCCTCCACAAAATTCTTCTTCACTGTCTGATTTCTCTAAATGACAAAATGAATACTACTGCTTAAAAATTGTTCCAACAAATACTGATATATCATCCACTAAATGCTAATATGGTAATTATTTGCCACTGGACTGTATTAGCCAATTTACACTACTCTGGTAAATATATAAGCACATCTGTTATCTTTTCAATTGGGAAAAAATTCAATACAAAACTGTATTTGTATCTAAAGCAAAGGAACTAGTATATCATTTTGTTTAGGTTTAAGATATTTCTCAGAATAAGTTGCATGAAAATCAATTTTGACAAATCTTTTAAGTTTGTCAGAGTGATTTGTAATACATACTTCTAGTCCCAATTCAGCACTGTGTTTGGTCACATGTCCAGGTAAGGGTCTGTTCATCTTTACACAATTTTACCTGTTTTGTGAAAATGAAAGCAATTCATAATCATATCACTTTAATAAAAAAGAAATTGAAAGTAATATCAACAGTTTCCACAATAACCTCTATGATAAAGGTTCATTACTGGGTGTAAAGATATCTGTATATGTCAGGTGACCTCTATTAAAAGATTCCTCTATGTCATGTGTCCTCTATAAATGGTTCATTATAATAGGTATCCTCTATAAAGAGATCTACCTGCCAGGGGATCATGATCTCTATAAATAAGTTCATATATGATAGGCGACCTCTATAGAGAGGTTCCTTTCAGGTGTCATCCATTACTGCTTCAAACTGAGATTCTTCAATGTCTGATGTCTTCTATAAAGCAGTTCCTCTATGTCATGTGACTTCTATAAAGATGTTCCTTTATGTCATGTGACCTCTATAAAGATGTTCCTCTATGTCAGGTGACCTATATAAAGCTGTTCCTCTATGTCATGTGACCTCTATAAAGATGTTCGTCTATGCCAGGTGATCTCTATAAAGAGGTTCACCTATGGCAATTGCTCTCTCTAACGAGGTTAGATCAGTGTCGATAGGATTATAGCACAAGTACTTGTGGACTCAAATTTAATAGCACTGAAAAATAACAAGCCACACAATAGCCTTATACACACTAAAATATTATAAGGCTATTTTGTGGTTTGTTATTTTCATTGGCTACCTATCCGCGACTTTAGAGATAGTCAGAACCCTTCGGCCTACTTAGAGTCTCATCAACGGGTATCTGTGTTCTGACCTATATTATCCCCTTGAGCCGTGAACATGCAGTTGTATCCGGATGCATAGTGGACAGGATTTTACTAGAGATGTTTAAAATCCAGATTCACGTGCCAGTGAACCGTGGTAGGTGTAGGTCGGTCAGGTAGCTTTTCACTGTCTTACTAGGATTGAGGATTCTATACACAAATAGGAAGTCTCGCTGAGATTTAATAAAATGATTATAAGCCAAGAGAAAATATACAGAGCAACTGCAAACATCATATTACTTACAACCACGATGTGCAACCACGCGTTTCCTGTTTACATTTTTTGACGGGGCGCGTTCGATACGCAACATGGAAATTAATATGTCGTCGTATTTTTGTCATTTTCAATATCAAAGGTATTTCTCCTCCTTTAATGTCGATCTGATGTATAGATATCGTAATGTCTTATTGTGGAAATCGATACGGACATATTTATGTAAGAATCTTATTTTTAAAAAAAGTTTTAAACATTAAAAATAAGAACGGTATACTTCTCTTGTAATAACCGGCGTCTTTTCCCATCAAATAATGCGTCCATTATTTTTTGCTCAACGGTTGCACAATTTCACCTGACTGTCCAAATACTTAAGATTATTTTTGAAAATGGATAATTAATTAATAACATTATAAATGTTTTTTTGAGAAGCAACACTTGATGCTGTAAAGTGAGATTTTCGTAAATGATTGCCAGATAAAACTTGCATCTCCTGTAGACTCCAGGGACCTGAATTTGAGGCAGTCGATCGAGTACATATCACAGTAAAAAATGTTGTTTTATTATTATTATTTATTTAATTATTATTGAGGTCGGGGGATGGAATCTCCCTGGAAGAACATGTTTTAGTTACCAGAGAAGATTTTGGTTGGGATAATGAAATACAGTCCAGTTAGTTCCTAGACTTAATACATGACGTGATACATGTAAAAACACAACCAAATAAATACTACGATGTTTAGCCGAACAGACGCAGCATTTTGCAAATGACGTCATAATTGACGGCACGTGTCTCTATAACAACGGCAATGCAACATGCATAGCAGCTGGAAAGACAAACGCAGCAATTATTATAAGCCTAATCATTATACCTTTTAGACCTGAAATAGACATACGACTGACGACAGAAATCAACATTTATAAGGTAAGTTTATTAAAGAGGAGAACATCTACACCATTGCATTTTTTAACGATTCCTACTCGGGTGGCTTGCGTTTCTTGTCATCAATTAGACTGCTGTACCCCCGAGTTTCCCTCCCACATGATATCATTTAGACTGCTGTACTATCGAGTTTCCCTCCCACATGTCATCAATTAGACTGCTTTACTCTCGAGTTTCCCTCCCACATGATATCATTTAGACTGCTGTACTATCGAGTTTCCCTCCCACATGTCATCATTTAGACTGCTGTACCCCCGAGTTTCCCTCCCACATGTCATCATTTAGACTGCTGTACCCCCGAGTTTCCTTCCCACATGATATCATTTAGACTGCTGTACCCCCGAGTTTCCTTCCCACATGTCATCATTTAGACTGTTGTACTATCGAGTTTCCTTCCCACATGACATCATTTAGACTGCTGTACTATCGAGTTTCCCTCCCACATGACATCATTTAGACTGCTGTACATCGAGTGACATCAGTTAAACTGCTGTACTATCGAGTTTCCCTCCCACATGACATCATTTAGACTGCTGTACTATCGAGGTTCCCTCGCACGTGACATCATTTAGACTGCTGTACCCCCGAGTTTCCTTCCCACATGACATCATTTAGACTGCTGTACTATCGAGTTTCCCTCCCACATAACATTTAGGCTGCTGTACTATCGAGTTTCCCTCCCACCTCCCACGTGACATCATTTAGACTGCTGTACCCCGACCCCTTCCCACATGACATCATTTAGACTGCTGTATTAGACTGGTGTAACCCCCGATCATCATTTAGTTTCCTTCCCACATGACATCATTTAGACTGCTGAGTTTCCTTCCCACATACATCATTTAGACTGCCGAGTTTCCTTCCCACATGACATCATTTAGACTGCTGTACTATCGAATTTCCCTCCCACATGACATCATTAAGACTGGTGTAACCCCGAGTTTCCTTCCCACATTACATCATTTAGACTGCTATACCCCCGAGCTTCCCTCCCACATGACATCATTTAGACTGCTGTACTATCGCTGTACAGTGTCCCTCCAACATGACATCATTTAGACCTGTACCGAGTTTCCTTCCCACTTGTCATCATTTAGACTGCTGTACCCCTGAGTTTCTCTCCCGCATGATAACATTTAGACTGCTGTATCCCCGAGTTTCCCTCCCACGTGACATCATTTAGACTGCTGTACTATCGAGTTTCCTTCCCACGTGTCATCATTTTGACTGCTGTACTATCGAGTTTCCTTCCCACATGATATCATTTAGACTGCTATACCCCCGAGTTTCCTTCCCACATGACATCAGTTAAACTGCTGTACTATCGAGTTTCCCTCCCACATGACATCATTTAGACTGCTGTACTATCGAGGTTCCCTCCCACATGACATCATTAAGACTGGTGTAACCCCGAGTTTCCTTCCCACATGACTTCATTTAGACTGCTGTACTCCCGAGTTTCCTTCCCACATGACATCATTTAGACTGCTGTACTATCGAATTTCCCTCCCACATGACATCATTAAGACTGGTGTAACCCCGAGTTTCCTTCCCACATTACATCATTTAGACTGCTGTACTATCGAGTTTCCCTCCCACATGATAACATTTAGACTGCTGTACTATCGAGTTTCCTTCCCACATGACATCATTTAGACTGCTGTACTATCGAGTTTCCCTCCCACGTGACATCATTTAGACTGCTGTACTATCGAGTTTCCCTCCCACGTGACATCATTTAGACTGCTGTACTATCGAGTTTCCCTCCCACATGTCCTCATTTAGACTGCTGTACCCCCGAGTTTCCTTCCCACATGTCATCATTTAGACTGCTGTACTCCCGAGTTTCCTTCCCACATGACATCATTTAGACTGCTGTACCCCCGAGTTTCCTTCCCACATGTCATCATTTAGACTGCTGTACTCCCGAGTTTCCTTCCCACATGACATCATTTAGACTGCTGTCTACTATGTACTATCGAATTTCCCTCCCACATGACATCATTAAGACTGGTGTAACCCCGAGTTTCCTTCCCACATTACATCATTTAGACTGCTGTACCCCCGATTACATCATTTAGACTGGTATACCCCCGAGCTTCCCTCCCACATGTCCTCATTTAGACTGCTGTACCCCCGAGTTTCCCTCCCCTCACTATCGAGTGTCCCTCCAACATGACATCATTTAGACTGCTGTACTATCGAGTTTTCCTTCCACATGACATCATTTAGACTGCTGTACTCTCGAGTTTCCCTCCCACGTGACATCATTTAGACTGCTGTACTATCGAGTTTCCCTCCCACGTGACATCATTTAAACTGCTGTACTATCGAGTTTCCTTCCCACATGACATCATTTAGATTGCTGTACTATCGAGCTTCCCTCCACATGACATCATTTAGACTGGTGTAACCACGAGTTTCCTTCTTACATGTCATCATTTAGGCTGCTGTACTATCGAATTTCCCTCCCACATGACATCATTAAGACTGATGTTCCACCGAGTTTCCTTTCCACATGACATAATTTAGACTGCTATACCCCCGAGCTTCCCTCCCACATGTCATCATTTAGACTGCTGTACTATCGAGTTTCCCTCCCACATGATAACATTTAGACTGGTGTAACCCCGAGTCTCTTCCCACTTGTCATCATTTAGACTGCTGTACCCCATGACATCATTTAGACTGCTGTACTATCGAGGTTCCCTCCCACATGACATGTACTATCGAGTTTCCCTCACATGACATCATTTAGACATGATAACATTTAGACTGCTGTATCCCCGAGTTTCCCTCCCACGTGACATCATTTAGACTGCTGTACTATCGAGTTTCCTTCCCACGTGTCATCATTTTGACTGCTGTACTATCGAGTTTCCTTCCCACATGACATCATTTAGACTGTTGTACTGTTGAGTTTCCTTCCCACGTGACATCATTTAGACTGCTGTACCCCCGAGCTTCCCTCCCACATGACATCAGTTAAACTGCTGTACTATCGAGTTTCCCTCCCACATGACATCATTTAGACTTGTACCCCACATGACATCATTTTCCCACATGTACATCATTTTAGACTGCTGTACTATCGAGTTTCCTTCCCACGTGTCATCATTTTGACTGCTGTACTATCGAGTTTCCTTCCCACATGACATCATTTAGACTGCTGTACTATCGAATTTCCTTCCAACGTGACATCATTTAGACTGGTGTAACCCCGAGTTTCCCTCCCACATGATATCATTTAGACTGCTGTACTATCGAGTGTCCCTCCCACATGTCATCATTTAGACTGCTGTACTATCGAGTTTCCCTCCCACATGATATCATTTAGACTGCTGTACTATCGAGTGTCCCTCCCACAGAACATCATTTTGACTGTTGTATTATCGACTTTCCCTCACGATGATTATATATGGTTACTCCCTCTTACCAAGTCTATGTCATCCGTTTACACCTTCGACTTTGCTTGGTGCTAAAATGACCTACACCGAGGTTGAATCTTTATCATCCATCCGGCGTTGATATGCGGTAACCATGTAGAAATGTTTCACTATGTCAGTGGCAGACACATATTGCAATATGTACTTTACATGCCTCCGAAAATTTCATTGCCAGTCAAATCATTCATGTTCCGGGAGTTGAAACCATTTACTGCAATTTGTCCATAGTCCATTATATCTTCCAGGGAAAAAGTTCTGTTAGATTGTTGAGAATGACCGCCTCCACTGAAAAAAGTTTATACAAGGATATTTCGAACGGCAACACATTTGCCACACTTAAGTTATGTACAAACGCGTATTCTTTGTAAACAATTAATAACATGAAACGGTAACATTAACATTTGAGATTTAACATTCAAACATACAATGCGGTAACGTGCTGGCTGAACAAAGCACGCCCTTTGTGTACTATATTTGTGCCAAAATAACGATATGATATTTGTTCTGGTTTCTGTCTGTTAATCCTTTTTTGTTCTCTCTTTCCGTTCTACGTTATCTCATAGAACTTGATTCATGATATTGTCAAAGCATCGTTTCGCTCCGTGAGTAAAATATCGCCTAACATAAATAACCCAAAATCGGCAGAAGATATCTGCATAGAAAGGGTAAAGTTAACTAATTG